CCACACCTTGGAGGTGATTGGCCCCTCCCATAGCGGAAACAAAAGAGGAACGAACGAGGAGGGGGCTTTTGCAGGAAACAATTCCTTCCTTCGTTCATTTCAAGGGTGGAAAGTTCTGCTTATGACTATAAGAGACTCTGTGCCAAGTTTTGCCTTGCCCTGCATTTAGAAACGAGTTATCTGGCAGCTCTCCAAGCGAGATAAGGTTCGTGTGGATAAATATTCCTCGGAAAGACTGTTTGCCAAGCCTTGTGGACTGTGAATGAAAGGAATTCAAGGTCGTGTAAACAAAAGGGGTTTTGTTGGGACCAAGAATCTGCTTCTTGCTTTTTAAGGAACCCTGGGTCAGAACAAGGAGGAGGAGGAGGAGGAGGATGATTGTGGGGTCCTTGGTGTTTTCTGAACTTGGTAGTTTTCTTGCAGATGTTTCGTTACCGAACTAGGGAACATCATCAGTGCTAGAAGGGTGTTGGGTTTGCAGAGCGGAGGAGGAGGAGAAAGGAAACAGGAGGAGAAAGGGAGGAGGAGGAGGAGGAGAAAATGGGGATGAGGATGACGACTGGGGTCCTTAATGCTCACTTGAGCTGGGTGGTTTTCTTGCCGACATTTCATTACCCAACTAGGGAACATCATCAGTGCTTGAAAGTGGGGTTTGCTGTGAGGAGGAGGGAGAAAGAGGAGGGGGAAGAGGAGGAGGACTGTGGAGTCCTGGTACTCTCTGAGCTTAGTGGCTTTCCTGCAGATGTTTCATGACCCAACTAGGGAACATCACCACTGCTAGAAGGGAGTGGGGTTTGTGAAGTGGAGAAGGAAGGAGAAGCATCCAATGACCCTTGATGGTGAATTTGGTGTTCCCTTGTTGGGTCAGCCACCCAGCTCAAGGTCCAGAGGGGAACAAAACGAGACCTCCTTGTTCTTCTTCTGAGCCCAGTCCTCTAAAATTCCTCCCCTTTTCCAGCTGGGGGCCTGTGGCTTCAACAGCAGAATCTTCCCCCACGTTTACCCCATCAAGCTCGTCCGGGTGAACGAAGACACCATGGAGCTGATCCGGAGACCAGATGGGCTCTGCATGAGGTGTGAGCCAGGTGAGGCCAGGGCATGGTGGTGATGGGTGGAGAGAAGGTGGAGACACAGATGGATGAACCCTAGAGAAGGTAGCAGAAGGAGATCCCCCCCCCCCATCCATTCCATTTTGTGTTCTCTCTCTCTGGCTGCTGGCGGAAGCTCCTTAGATGCCTTCAAGCCACGTTCTGCTGAAGGCATCAGAAGACCTTCAGCGTTTGAGAACCTGGTTGGATCCTGAAAAATCTCAAACCCAGCCTCTTCCTTCCTCTTTGTCCCCCAGGAGAACCGGGCCAACTGGTCGGGCGCATCGTCCAAAGTGACCCCTTGCAGCGTTTTGATGGCTACCTCAACCACGAGGCCAACAACAAGAAGATCGCCCGAGATGTCTTCACCAAAGGCGACTCTGCCTACCTCTCAGGTGAACCTTCCTCCAGTCTTCTTTTGGGGGTATAATAATTCCCACCTGTAGAAAAAAAAAAGGCCAAAGGCTGTTTAGTCAGAGCTGGAAAAATGTGGAAAAATTAGGATATATCATAGAATAAAATAAAGCTGGAAGAGACTTTAGGGATCTTCTAGTCCAACCTTCTGCTCAAGCAGGAGAGCCTATACCATTTCAGGAAGAAAGGAAGGAGGAAGGAAGGGAGGGAGGGAGGGAGGAAAGGAAAGGAAAGGAAAGGAAAGAAGGAAAGAAGATAGGAAAGAAGAAAGGAAGATGGGAGGGAGGGAAGAAAGGAAGGAAAGGAAGATGGGAGGGCGGGAAGGAAGGAAGGAAGAAAGATGGGAGGGAGGAAAGGAAAGAAGGAAAGAAAATAGGAAGGAAGAAAGGAGGATGGGAGGGANAAAGGGGAGTGGAGCTTGCAGGAGGCAATCAGTTCATTCCTGCATTCTGTCCAAGTATGGCGGCATCTGAAAGATATCGGCCTGGCCACTCTCCAAGCCTGATCAAGGTCGGTAATTGGGAACTCTCTTGAAAGGCTGTGGGAGAGGAAAGACTTTGCTGGAGAGGAATTCACTGTCAATTAAATAAAAGGGGTTTATCGGGACGAGGACTCAGCTTCGGGCTGCTGGGGAAGCCTCGGTCAGAACAGAAGGTGGGAGCCATGAAGAGCCAAGAGCCTGTTCAAGCTGCAGAGAAAATATTCCCAGGAGAGGGGAGGGTTGGGACAATGGAGAGCTGGTGCTCCAGAGGGAGATCTGGATGCAAAAATGCAGCTTTCTGAAGCTCGTCCTTTGCAAACCCCTGAAAATCTCCGTGTCCTTTAGCCAATGTCCTAAAGATCTCCATGTTGTTTGCAAATTTCTGCATTTCTCCATTGTTCTTTGTGAACTTCTGAAATGCTCCATGTTTTTGCAAACTCCAGAAGTTCTCCATTGTTCTATGTGAACTTCTGAAGTTCTCCATGTCCTTTGCCAATCTCCCTGAAAGTCTCTGTGTCGTTCTTTCCCCCCCCCCCAGATAAACTCTTCTACATTTACACGTCTGGAACGACTGGTTTGCCCAAGGCAGCCATCATCGTCCACAGCAGGTCAGTGAAAAGAGAGAGAGCGGGAGAGATTTTCCTGCGGTTCAGATCTCTTCTGCTGTTCTCCGTTTCTTCCGGAGCCCCCTCTGCGACGGGCTGACCCACCCAAACTGACTCGGGGCTTTCTTCTCTCTTCTCTCGGAGCAGGTATTTCCGGATGGCGACCCTGGTCCACGGGGGCTTCCGCATGACGCCCGACGACGTGATTTATGACAGCCTCCCTCTCTACCACGCGGCAGGTAATGCCCACGCTCTGGGCTTCACAGCCCTATTTTTCATTTCCTGTGGTCGCTTCTTCTCTTTGCTCTCCTTTTTCCTGAAATATTCCTCCCCAAGTAAGGTATCAAAGAAGAGGAAAGTCGACCAAAGTCTGTCTGCCTTCCTGCCTTCCTTCCCTCCTTCCTTCCTTCCTCCCTTTCCCTCTTTCTCTTTCCTTCCTTTTCTTCCTCTTCTGTCTCCTCTCTCCCTTTTCCTATCTCTCCTTCTTTCCTCCTCCCTCCCTCTCTTCCTTTTCCTATTTCTCCTTCCTCCATCCCTCCCTTCCTTCTTTCCTCCCTTTCCCTCTTCCTCTTTCCTTCCTTTTCTTCCTCTTCTGTCTCCTCCCTTCCTCCCTCCCTTTTCCTATTTCTCCTTCTTTCCTCCCTCCATCCCTCCCTTCCTCCTTTCCTCTCTTTCCTTCCTTTTCTTCCTCTTCTGTCTCCTCCCTCCCTCCCCCCTTTTCCTATTTCTCCTTCTTTCCTCCCTCCCTCCCTTTTCCTATTTCTCCTTCCTCCCTCCCTCCCTCCCTTCCTTCTTTCCTCCCTTTCCCTCTTTCTCTTTCCTTCCTTTTCTTCTTCTTCTGTCTTCTCCCTTCCTCCCTCCCTACCTTTTCCCATTTCTCCCTCTTTTCTCCCTCCCTCCCTTTTCCTGTTTCTCTTTCCTCCCTCCCTCCCTTCCTTCTTTCCTACCTTCTTCCTCCTTCCCTTACTATTTATTTTTATCCCCTTTCATGCCGCCCTTAGGGAATATTGTCGGAGTCGGGCAGTGTCTCCTACATGGAATGACGGTTGTGATCAGGAGGAAGTTTTCAGCTTCTCACTTTTGGGACGATTGTGTCAAGTACAACTGCACGGTGAGGCAAAGGGGAGGGGACTCTCGGCAAAAGGTGGGAAGAGGGGTCACAAGTCTGTTAGAAAGAGAGAAGGAAGAGAGAAAAGAGAGAGAGATAGAGAGAGACAGAAAGAGGAGAGAGAGGGAGGGCGAGAGAAAAGAGAGGGAGGAAGGGGGAGAAGGAGAGAGTGGGAGAAGAAAGTGGGAGAGGAAAGAAAGAAAGAGAGAAGAGAGAGAGAGAAGAGAGAGGAAAGAGAGAGAAAGAGAGAGGAGAGAGGGAGGGAGAGAGAAGAGAGAGAGAGAAGAGAGAGGAAAGAGAAACAGGAGAGAGAGAGGGAGAGAAAGAGGGAGGAAGGAAGAGAGAAGAGAGAAAGACAGAAAACAGAGAGAGGAGAAAAAGGCGGAGAGAGAGAGGAAAGAAAGAGAAAGACAGATAACAGAGAGAGGAGAAAGAGAGTTGGAGAGAGAGGAAAGAAAGAGAAAGACAGATAACAGAGAGANAGGACTTAAAGTCTCCAAGGTTGAGAAACACTGTAATACACCCAAAACTGCATACATAAATCCGGTTGGCTTTTCGATTGTTTCTAACGCACACCCCAGATTTATTCTATTCTTTTGGACCAAAAGGGCTTTAAAAAAAAAAAAAAGGAAATTTAAAAAAAAAAACAGGAGCGAAATGCAGTGACAGGCTAATTGTGCCCTGAGCATTTGCTTGCCTGCCCGTTTGAAATGTCCCTAGAGGGCATTTAGACCTGGCTGGTTTTCAGAAGTTTGAAATCCATGATCTGATCATCCGTAGTGCTCTCAAACAACCTGCTCAAATTAGCTTCCCCACCCCACCCCTTGGATGCCATAAAAACTCAAGCTGGAAGTACTTATATTCCACCGGACGTTTCCAAAAACTTTTTGAGACCAGTAGCTTTTGGAATAGGATCCTGCCGTATTATTATTATTTCTTTTTTAATGTGATGAGATCTCTCTCTTGCTCACACGAGGGAGACTCCGAGCCACAGCAAATGGACAGAGAACAGCACGCTCCACAGATCTCCAATGCGCCAGGAAACAACCCCAGGGTGTCTAGTGGAATCCCTGAGAAACCGACACTAAACAGACACCCCTCCTGATGTTTTGCAATGCGCTCAGCTTCAGGAACGGAGAGAATTAGACTGGCCAAACTGGATTCTATAGTTTTGTTTTGTTTTTAATGCAGGCAGCATTCTGTTTCCAGAATGGGGTGTTAACACCGTCTTACTGTCTTCCTTGAAATGTGTGTATTCGGTCAGCAGGAACCTTAGAATATCCAAATAGAATAGGATAAGACTTATTTCTTAGCCAAGTGTGATTAGACACGCAAGGAATTTGTTTTCCGGTATGTAGATCCTTCCCCAGCTTCTTTCAAAGCATCCTAACAACTGAATTTCCTTTTCCCACAATGCTTAGCACAGGATGGGAGGTTTGAAAGGATGATGAGGATAGCTTTGCGGGCTGGGCGATGCACAGGGAAACCCCCCCTCCCTTTTTTGAAGATACCGTGGGTCATTTCCAAACTCCCTCACTCCCCCTCCCCCCCCCAAAAAATAAACCCCAAGCAATAATGATTTTGGAGGGCCTGGCTTTGGGCCAACGATCCTGATTGGTCTTTCTACATCAATCTTGTTTTTTTTAATGGGTGCTGGTGCAGCACCGACTCAGGGAACGAGGGGAGGGGGGCTAAGGAGGGAGGTGTCTGGAAAAGAGGCCCTTGCAACCCCCCCCCCCCCCCC